GTCCCCGGCTGCAAATGCCGCACACTCGAGCGTGTCGTCGCTCTGTGGAGGGAGGCCACGCTTCCCCGGTGGGATGAGAGGTCCCTAAGACGTCTGGTGACGTGACTTGGGCAGAGGGAGGTAGATGGGGGGCGGCCAGGGAGAGAGGGTTTTCTGCTCGGTATTCATCACTTAATTCCCCCTGCCTCAGGACTTCACGATGAGAATGATTGAGAGCGTTGACTCTGTGGTCACCAGGTCCAGCGAAGACCTCTGGGCTGAAATCTGCTCGTGTCTGCCGCATCCCGACCAGAAGGATGCCAGCGATGCTTTTACAGACTCCTTCATGGATTCCTACGCCGATGGAGGAAGCCAGGGCAGCGGATCAGATGGCTCTACCCAAACAAATCTGAAGCCCTGGGCACCCCTGAATGATTCGGAGGTGTATTTGGCATCCCTAGGTGAGTGTCTGGTAAGGCTGCAATTCCTCCATTTGCTTAGGTGCCTGATGACAGCTATGGCTCTGTTTTTGCGGCTGAGGTGATGGTGCTCACCGCTCTGGTTGGAAAGACGTTTTGCAACTATTTAATAGAGCATCCTGCTTGTTTCCTGCAAGTGCATTAGTGGAAATGAGAAGCATGGTCATAGGTTCTTCAGCTATGCTACAAAAAGGAACTTTTTATCAAGTACAAACCAAAGAATTTGCGGTTTTCCCCCCAGAATAAGTGGGGTAGGGACACTGCTGGTTTTTCTCTGAAGATCGTGTAGTTCCACTGTAGTTGACTTGGGGAGGGGAAATGCATTCTGAACTCATTATGGAGCCTATGCATTTTTGTGTTAACTGGTATTTGTCTCATTCTTTTTATGGAGCCTTCACAGATGCTTCTGAGTGGAAAGAGGAAAGTGCAATTTCTTTCTGTGACCTGTTTTCTGGTTGGAGAGGAGAGAGACGGGTATGGGAAAGAAAGCTTTGCCAGATCATGCCTGCTAGAATCTGTATTTTAAGACAACAGATCGTGCAGCTTGTCTTTGCGCGATTGCTCCTCTCAATTCCTGCATAAACTATAAAGCCAGAAATTGATTGTGAACAGTGCAACAGCTGGTGGAAACACTTGATAAGAGGGATCACAGGGTTACCACTACTGGAGCTAACATCCCAGCACAGCTAAGCATTGCAGTCCTTAGCTCTAAGGCCATGGAATTTGTCACCCTGTTTTAAGCATTTCCTACTCCCTTCAGAGGCCTCATTGTACAACAGCATTCAAGCCCAGGACAGGTCCTCCTGTTGCCTGTTAGGAGGAAGCTTTGGGGTTCCCCTCCTCTCCAGCAGTTGGACTGCTACTGCCTCCGCTCTTCGCAAAATACTCCACCTTTATGGCTCTTCTTTTCCCCTTCTTTCCCTCCTGCGGAGTTATTTTTATCTTGGGTCAGTGTGTAACTCGGTTTGCAGTGCAGCCACATGCATAGTTGTCTCGGCTCGCGTAGGAGGCTGCATGCAGAAACAGGCCAGGAGGAATGGGTGACAGAAGTGGCTTTTTAAGCTTTTATTCCTGCTAGAGCTTCCATCTTGCCTCAGTTGCTGGTTTAGACTATTATTTCACAGTACACTAAGTAGAGCTCTTAGTATCAGATCAAGGGTGCCACGGCAACAAGACATAAGTTGCTCTTCTGGTATTACTGCTGCAGTTCCAGCTTGTTCCGAAAATGTCAGTCGATTAATTTTTACAAGCAGGCTTCAGACTAGATCTCTGTCTGTTTTCTCACAGCCAGGATGAAAGCATAACACTAGTACAAAGTTTCTTTCGTATATTCTGGCTAAGTCAACGGAAGTACAAACCTGCTCTAGGTTTGCACCTGGCCAGGATTAGCGATTGCGAAATCACAGCATCAGCCTGGCAGTATGTTTGGACAGATACGACAATTCAAATCTTCTGAATTGCTAGGGCCGGAGACTTTTGGTGACGGCTCAATTCCACGACACAAGACAACCTCCAAAAAGCTCGATGGGCGGGCCACAGGGTTGTGAACTAGCCCAATTCAACTAACGATGATATGCTTTTTGGTAAAAAGTGTGATTATAAGTCAATACCTGACCCAATTTAAGGAGGAAACCATTATAATGGGATTTTGTGACCAGAGGAATTAATGAAATTGGCTTTCCTGTAGCTTTGTGTATTGTAGTTGGATTACCCTGCGTCTGGTAAGGAGGCGCTTTTCATCGTCCCCTGTGGCTGAGAAACTCACATTATCACATTCTGTTACGAGATATCCAACTAATTATACCTCTGTACTCGTGTTTTGTTCCTCAGTTTAGGCATTATTTGGATTCACGCTACAATTAGTGTGATTTATATTCCATGCCAATTTGCATGGGAATTGTAGGAACTTAATGCCTGTGAGATCTGAAGTCTCCTGTGTGATTTCATGAAAACGGAGCAGTGAGTGTGAAAGTTATTAAAACTCAAAAATGGGCAGAGGTGACTGATTGCATAAACCTTATTTCCTTCAGAAGCATCACCTAAAAAATACTGTCTTGTATACATACAAGAAATATAGTCGTGCAGACTTGAAATACAGGGAGAAAAAATGACTTTTAAAATATGACTTAGTCTTGAAAAGTTAATTTAACTTTTCTGATACAGAAGTCCAGATACTTCTTTTCTTCCCTTTCAGAAACACATAATAAAGATAATAAAGACCCCTCCCTTTGCCTCTCCACAGAGAGAAGACTGATGAGAATTAAGGGCTTGTCTCAAGAGGTGACCTCCAAGGATATGCTGCGCACTCTCTCCCAGGCTAAGAAGGAATGCTGGGACAGGTTCCTGCAGGAGAAGTTTGAGTCTGAATTTTATGTAGAGGGACATGACTCTGATGAGAGGTAATAAGCAAGTCGATGAGAAGGGATTACCACTTACCGTGTTGGCAAACAGACTGTATTTCTCAAAAACTAAAATAAGGTTTCGTCAGGAGTTGTGATAGGGCACTATGACAAAAATAACATCTCATTGCAACATGGTAAGGCTGTCACAGGCTTCCGAAACAGTTTGGTAATGACCGTTTGCGGCGTACTCGAGGGGAACACACAGAGCATGTAGGGTTTGAACTTCCAGTGCTGCTCACTGATTTTTGCATCCCTCGGGCTGGGGTGATTCAGCGTGGAAACAACCAGAACCTACTTGTTCTAACAAGCTCTAACCTAACTCCCCTGTCACATTTGGGGTAGGGAAGGAATGGAGTGGACGAGGGGATGTCTGATGTGTCTGAGATTGCTTTTTTTTTTTTTCTTAAGGCTTCACTTTAAAAGTGAACCCCAGGCCATTCCCTACACCTTTGCAAGGGCCCAGTTAAGCACCGCTTCAGGCGCAAGTGGGATTTGAAGTTCTTTACGGGGTTGGTACCAGTCCTGAGATTAGATTTCCCGAGTGGCTCTCCCTTCCGTGCCTCTCTTACAATGCTGCTGCGATCTCACCCCTTACCCTTTTACAGATGACGTATGAATTAAGATGAGAGTCCCTTTCTTTAGCAATCTCACATTTCCAATCACTTATAATGCTCTCCGAATTTCTCCTTTCCGAGCTGACATTTCTCATGATTGCTTCTAGCTGAAAAGAAGATTATTTTTCTCCCTTGAAGAAAATCTACTTAAGCTAGTCTGGGAGTTTAAGTATGAAAAATAATCCATGTTTAGAAGCAGTTTTTAGATTCTTTCTTTGACTAGTTAACTTCAATGTGATTTATATTTAAAAACAAGCTTTTGTAGACATATGTGCTCTTTCTACTGTTTCTTAAAGGCTGGGAATGTTATCCACGAAAGAATTTGCCTCCCTAGAATTTGACTATGAAGTTAGAGGTCACTCCCGAATGGTTCTGAAGTATTTGATTCTCACCCACCAATGCAATTAAACAAGCCTTGACTTTGAAGCACACAGATAATTTCAAGGACATTACCAAGTGAAATTCTGCTCTTGTGAAAGAGCAAGAGCAAGTTAATTTTGTTGTGGCGGTATTGAATGACTTGAATCACACTTCTAGAAGATGAGCATACGCACGCATACATTCAAGAATGATAGTATTAAACTTCTAGAGTTCTAGCCAGCATTTAAGCAAAGACAGAGGTTAGATCTGTGCTGGTTGGACCAGTTATTGTGAGATAGGCTGTAAGACAGTTATGATGCTAGTATATATTTATAAGCATCTATAGATGTTTATAGAATATATAGATGTCTATAGAATCCATAGTATGGTTAGCATTCTGGAATGTACACATGCTGCCTTTTTCCTCTTTAATCTCCTGGCATTATTAATGGTCACACACTTTTATATGTGCTTCCTGTTCTGGTTTTGTTCCCTTCCCCCCTATATTTCCTAATTTTCATCACGATTAGGCAGTCCTGGGGTTTGCTTGTTTGTTTTGTTTTAACGCTAGCTTGCTTACTTCCAGCCCAGAAAGCTGGAAATGGAATTGTAGCCTTTGGCTACAGAGACAGATTAGTACTTCAAGCATGTAAAGGTTGATGTACCTGCTAAGGATTCTTTCAATCGAGAAAAAGCCAAGCGTAAAACTTTTCTAACCATAGTTGAAAAAGCCCAACTACAGCAGAATGTCTGCGTAGAATGAAAGATTCCGCTTGCTCCTCTGGCACACGGATCAGGCTCACGATAGACCTTACCTGTGGCAATAGGAATACCTGCAGAGGTGAAAGAAATGCAGATGGAGGATTTTCCTGACGCTTTTTTCATGCATTCCTCTGAGGTTTTGTCGCTTTCTTGTTTCACTTTGTGTCTTTGCTTTCCCTCAGCACGCTAGAACATCTAAAGCGATGGCTGCAACCTGATAAAGTGGCAATCAATACTGAGGAGGTACAGTGCCTCATCCCTCCAGAATCTCAGCCAGAGAAGCAGGAGACTGAGGAAGACCCTCCAGCTGCAGAGCAGTGAGACGCGCCAGCCGTGCCCCAGGGCTGCCTCTTGTCCCAACCCTGATGAAGTTGTACCCAGCGATAGTAGTAACGGGAGGGGAGGCGGGGGAGAAAAAGTGCCAGTTATCAGTCATTTAAAAAAAAAAAAACACGAAAAAACCCAACACACAAAAAAAACCCCAGCTCTGGACCTCCAGAGATAGTGACTGTTATTTGTTTTGGACAAGAGCGGAACGCCTGTGACACAGCGTACGCTGAACTGAAATCTTACTCTGCTCTTCTCCCAGCCTGTAGCAACCTGATCATTCCAGTCTGAACAGGAATTGTTTGTAATTCGTCAGGAGACACATTAAACAAAAAAAGAAGCAGTTGTTGAGAAGCATCAGAAAACATAATGGTCTAGAATAGAACAGATAAAACTGCTGAATCAGTTTTTCTTCCTGTTGTACCTTTTTATTACTCAATTGGGCATTTTTTTTTTCTTTCCTGTGAAGTCCACTGTGATGTTTTCTATAGATCTTCACTATTTAAGTCTGAGTTGGCCCTGAGCTGTGCCTGGAGGAAGACAGCTATTATTCACCTACACGAATTTGGAACCCTAAAGGAAGCTATCATTGCAGTTATTAAATTGATGGTATCATTGACATTGTAACTGTTTAACATTCCTCTCTATGTAGTGTACCCTCCTACAATATCCCACTTCATTGGCCAAACTCTCTAATATAAAATAGACTGGAGGGGGAGTATTTTTTTCCTCGTGTTGACCATTTAGTACCTGTTCTTTATCTCCTTCAGCCTCTCCAAAAGAGGGTCAGCTGAGATTCTGTATCAGGAAACCAGGAGGGATAACCAGGGAGGCTACAAATAACTTGTTTTCATCACAGACTTGCATAGAATTATCTGACTTTAAATATGTTCTAGTATTTAATTGTATTTCATCCTGTTTATCTCTGCAGAGGGTTATTTCTCGTTACTAATCAAGGAATCTGTAATCATGTACCTGTATAAGACTGATGCTGCTTTAACCCATGCTTTCTGTCTTGGCATTGACACTGAAGGTCGATAGAGGGAAGCAGCGTACATCTTCTGTCAGATAAAGCTAGTTAAGACAGGAATTGGAGGGGTCCTTCTAGTAGTTTATGCACACGAGATTCATACCACATTCATTATGTACCTGTACGAAAATACATTTTTAAAAGTAGCGTCTTCATATGCCTGCCTTGTTTCCTGTCTCTGTGCAACTATAAATGGTGCTATTACCTCATTCACTGACAGCTGCTACTCTGTTGGTGCTGCTTCTTCAGGGTCGTGACTCAGTGTTTGTTTCCACGATCGGCTTTATCGGTATAACCACCCACCCCAGGCTCACCATTCACAGAAGAGTCACGCTCATAATTCTCCATTAGAACAAACGTGGTTTTTTTAAAGACTTGAGAAATATGGTGAATCACCTGTATGTCAGTGATACAAGACTTGCGAGTCTCGTGTCTTGGTGGAGGGTGGTTTTTGTCATCTTTTAAATTATCTCTAAAAATAAATCTGCTTTCCTGTACAGATACGGTCTGTAAATCTCTCTCACCCATGATGTCAAGTGACAACAAAGATGCCTCTGAGTATTTACCAGAAATGGTACGTACAGAGAGAGGAAGATGCAATTTCTCTGTCTGTACCCCGGCTATTTCGTAGTCAATACGTTTCCTTCTTGTGATTAGCAATGACTCTGAAGATGCTTTATGTTATTTTGTCTATTCCCATTAAAGCTATCTGAGAAAGAAATGTATTCAGAATAACTATACGGAAACACTAGTCCAGGTGCACATAACCTAGCATTTCCTCTAGAGGAGGGACCTTAGAGAGAGAGTAGCTCTCGCCATTTCAGTTTTGAAAATGGCTCAGAAGCCAAGGAAAGGGTCTGGGGAAGAATTGTTGTCCAAACACAGACTTAGCTGAATTTGCATTGATACCCTGGCAAGACCTACGCAGGTCCCTTGCTGGTTAGTTACATACGTCTGTCCGTATGGGTGACTGAAGAATGAGGAGGTCATCTGCCTCGAGTTGTCCAAAATACCAGCTACTCTCAGGAGCTTCTTGTGCGGGAGGATCTGTTTAAATGTAGCTAGGAGGACCAGCTATTTCGACCCTTTGCATTCGTAAAGCATGCTCTGCCGAGATGGCAGGGAGTAAGTCCTATTGCTGCACGTGGAGAACGGGCACAGGTCATTTTCATCCTGTCCAGGGACTTTCAGTACCAAAAAAAAAAAAAAAGAGACCAGAATAAATCAGTACCAAGCAGGACGGCGGGCAGAAGGTCAAACAAACGCTTTGTGGTGGAGGAGGAGGAAAGAAGCAGTGCCGGCTGTTTCAAGGGGTAACTGAAGAGACTGTCGTGAACAGCCGCATCCCGTTCCAGCAGGGAGTCTCCTGCGGATGGAGTCTCCATCCCCGCGGGCCATGCCAGCTCCCACGCCGAGCAGCACCGTGTCTCGCTTGGCTCCCAGTGGTCTAACGTCAGCTCCACCGGCTCTGGCACGGCCAAGCAAGCCGAACGAGCACAGGACAGCGTAGCGTGGTTTTGCTCAGTTGTCACGCTGGTCACAAGTCAGGAAGAAATACCGGTTTTCTCCCTTTGTGGCTGTTGATTGGCAATGTCAGCACAAGACAGTAAACTAGGTCCTGAAGCGCCGCAGCGTCATCTTTTCAGCAGAGATTTAAACCTGCCGACGCGCTTACAGATTGGCATTGAATTGGAGACTGCCTTCCGATCAAGCGATAGATCCAGGCTGATCAGCTCGCAGGCTCGCGCCCAAGGCTGGCTGACTCCGTCTAACTCAACCGGGATGTAAACAGCAGGACAGAAAGACCTGATCTGGCCGCTTAAGAACAAGCAAAAGGTTAAATAAAAGGCTATTTTATAAGCACGCAAGCTATTTTTTTATCTAGTTTTAACCTAAACACACTTTTACTGTATAGAAACATTTACACTTGAGTAGTCTAACCCTGTGTTGCTGAAGTGCAGGGACAACATCCAGCGAAGGCGCTGCAGTATAGCAGTGTTCAGAAGAGCGAGCTGGGAGCTTCCACGTGATCATAGAATCATCGAATCGTTTAGGTTGGAAAAGCCCTTTAAGATCATCCAGTCCAACCATTAACCTACACTACCAAGTCCACACTAAACCAATTAAGGGTAGACTAGACTAAACCATGTCCCCAAGTGCCACCTCTGCCCATTTTTTGAACACTTCCAGGGATGGGGACTCCCCCACCTCTCTGGGCAGCCTCTTCCAATGCTTGACCACCCTTTCCGTAAAGAAATTTTTCCTAATAGCCCACCCTTTGGACACTGACCCAGAAGAAATAAGGCTCGGCACGGCTCTCTACTTAAATCACCATAAGAATAGCAAGAACTCCTCTCTTAAAACCCTTAAAAACTTCTTTACAAGATCGCTAAACTGAATACATGAGGAAGTGCAATACATCCGGACAGCGTTGTTGCACGTGGTGGTGCAAAACCATGTGTAGACATGGTTTAACTAGCCAGGACTTTACTTCAAAGTATTATGGTTTATTCTAGAAAAAAGAAAGCCGTTTCGCTCCTATTGAGCAAACAAACTCTTGCTGGTACAAGCAGCGTTTTCACTTGGGTTTTTTTTTTTTTTTTTGCTTACACAGCGACACCAGCCTTCCTATATGTGGCAATAATTCACATGCTGGGAGATGCGCCAATCTAAACAAAAAGAGGAGCTGATGATGACGGCGTAGCAATAGAGGAAAAGCACACTATCAGGAGGCGCAGACGGGTCCCCAGTCGCTGCGTCCTGTCCAGACTGTTACGCACAAGCGAAGAGCTGCCATCAAATATGGGAGCTGATTTTTCAGGCGTGAGAAACCAGTAGTCACGAGAGAAATGTGAGCCGCACCTCCGCTTTGTACCTTTTAAAGACAATGCTGGTTTCTCTGCATGATACAGCATTGCTTTAAACCTCCCGGAGCGATGGGTCACGCCGGTGTTGTAACACATCACCGTCGTCAGGCTGCCAGTAAATTGTTTTCAAGATGGGGCAGAATAAAGCGAAACCTAAGGCAAGCCGACCGCTGCCTCGTCAGAGCAGCGCTGGGGCCGTTGCCGCAGGCGTTGCCGGCCAATGCGACAGCCGGGCTAACGGAGCTCATCGGGCTGTGAGGAGGAAAAGGGACTGGGGAAACAGGTGCCCCAAAGCACCTTCTTGTCGAAAGCAGCACCTAAATCAGTGAGCCGCTCAGGAAATTAATCAGGCAGTGGCTGAGGCCAATTAACGTCTCTGTGGAATATGATCATAGAATCACAGAATGCTTTGGGTTGGAATAGAATCATAGAATCATAGAATCGTTTAGGTTGGAAAAGCCCTTTAAGATCATCCAGTCCAACCATTAACCTACACTACCAAGTCCACACTGAACCAATCAAGGGTAGACTAGACTAAACCATGGCCCCAAGTGCCACCTCTGCCCGTTTTTTGAACACTTCCAGGGATGGGGACTCCCCCACCTCTCTGGGCAGCCTCTTCCAATGCTTGACCACCCTTTCCGTAAAGAAATTTTTCCTAATAGCCCACCCTTTGGACACTGACCCAGAAGAAATAAGGCTCGGCCCGGCTCTCTAC